AGTTGGATGCTATGATTTCCCTGTGATAAAGCAGTTTGCTGTCTTACCGGCTTCTTAGATTTTTTTTTACGTGGCGGGCTCTGTCAAACAACTGGCATTATTTTGCTCTCCGGCGTCCTTGATTTTTCTTCAGGGTTGTGGCTTTTGACTTCAAAAACAAAAAAAAAAAAAGAGGGGGCCTGATCTATATTGGTAATTTGACAGTAGCAAAGCATGCTAAATTAGGGGATGTTTGGATTCGGAATGACAGGGTGGCTTGGCACAGGGGAACACACGGATCTGCCCTTTTTATTTGTCACTGTTTGCATTAGAAAGATGCAAAACCTTGTACCATACGTTGCTTTCTATAGCTCTGTTTTTAAAAGAGGACCTTGTTTGAGTATAAAATCACAGTTCAGAGGCCTACAGCCATTTAGGGTGAAGCACGATGACCACGGTCTGTTGATATTTGTTTTGTAAATGCTGCTCTACAGACAACTTCAGTTTGGATGTATCGTAGGGGAAAGGACGCAGCTTCTGCAGAGGGCACCGAGGCTCAAACCTGCCCCTTTGAGGACTGGGAAACTTCAGACCTTTTTTGACAAACACCCCCCCCACCCTCCTTTCCCACGTTAACCTTCCTGAGAAAGTCCCTAGTGCTGGTGCAAGGCTTTGAACAACAAAATCCAGTTTAATTATGCACTGAGGATTTTCTCTGCGTATGCGTGCCCGTGGGGCTGCCGCTCGTTCCTGACCCAGCATCGATGCCCCTGGAATATCGGCTTCTTGCGGAGGCTGTCTGCTCAGGTACTTGAGGAACCGTCCTAAGCGGGTGCGTTGGAGGGGAGGCGGCGGAGGGGGGGGAACGCATCTGCTTTCTAATTGTAAAGCTGCCCGCCGAACATCTGAGGGGCTAATTTAGTTCAGCGTTGCTCTTGCATGTTAGAGCAGCACCACTGTTTCGGTAAAATAGCGCTGTTGCAGGGCTGCAATGTTGACATAAGCCTGGAGTTCTTTCAGTTTAACCACAAGGCTACACGCTTGAGTTATTAAATAATTTTTTTTGTTTAATTGAACTGTAATCTTTGTTAGTCTCCTAGCTGACAGCTGGGTTTTAATGCGCGCAAGATCAAAACGCCGCGTCCAGGAGATGACATGCTCGCTCCCGTCACCGCTCACCATGGCCCCAGCGCCTGCCCTGCTGCCCGTTCGCCTTTGCGGGGTCCCCACCCGCCGCCCCGCAGGTTGGCTCTTGCTCCCCTTTTTGGGGACGCGCCGGGGCTGGGGGGCAAGGAGCAGCCGAGATGAGCAAGCTCTGGAGGTGGGGGTCTCCCCTGGGGTGTTGGTCCCCGGCCATTTGTGAGCGGAGCAGCCCCACAGTGTGTACCTGCGCCCTGCCATTTGCATGACAAAGGCGCTTCTTGTTGATGCATCTGTTGCCTGGAGGTGTTAGGCAGGATTAAAAAGCCGCCCTGGGGCGCTCAATCTTTTTTTTTCCCCCTGCCTGGAGCAAACCCTTGGAAACCCTTGCTGCCTGCAAACCGCCCAGGGTCTAGGGACCATCTCTGATGGGAATGATGGCCTCAGCTCGCTACGCCAGTGTAGAGAGAGCAAAGCTTTCTTGGAATGGGAAAAAAAGTTACTTTCACCAACACGCGTAGGAAAAAAAAAGCCTTTTTTTTTTTAAAAAAAAGGCAAACGCTTTGCATTCTTGTTCTGCAAAATGGAAAATACAAACCTGTAGTCAGACACAACGTGTCTAATAAGCCTTCAAAGAAGAAAACTGTAGTGTAATTTCAGTGGAGCTTTTGGAGCGGAGAGGGTGTATGAGGAGGATTTCAAATTTTCCTAAATATGCTGTTGTTAGAGTGGTCTCCTCTTCTCTTCATCTTTTTATTTTTTTAATTCTTAATTTTTTTTTTATTTTTTTATTTTACTGGCAACTGACTTGCCTTTTACAAGTTGGATTTGTAGGGGCATGAGAGTGTTTATTACAAGTTCAGGTACAGCCCTCCTGCCGCAGTACGTATTCTTATCAGATGGCTGGGTAAGTGAAAAAGCAAAGCAGTTGGTTTGGGTGGCTGCAGGAGAAGTGGCACGTGACGGTGCTAAAACCGCAGTAACACCTGGTGAATGTGCATCCTGTGTGCTCGAGATACCTTTTGGTGGTTTCTCAGCACCGTGGGGGTACTGAAGGTGGGATATGGAGACAGCTGTTTGTTTTCTAACGTGTGGGCTTCTTTTTTTTTTACTTTTTCGTTAAGAAGCCTTAATTTTGGGGTAGCAAACCTTCCTCGTCTGTGTGATGGGAATGTGGGGACAAAGGAGGTGACCGAAGAAGAATCATTTCTCTGGGTCTTAAATTCATCCAGAAAATCATTTTGTCTTTGCTCCTCCCTCTTTCCCAATGAATTAAACTTTCTGTGGGAAGAGAGCATTTCTTCAACCTCCCTTTTGTCTGTTCTTATCTGTTCTTGGGGTCTGGGTTTATTTCTTTGTGGGTAAACTGTCTCTTTGTAGCAGCTGGAGGCATTAAATAGGTAGGAGGATACAATCTATAAACACCTTACAGCCACTTGCAAAACACAGCACATCCATTTGAAAACAATGAGGAATTTTGCTAAGAGGGTTTCAACACAAGGAGCAACATTTATACACAGGACCCCCTTACCCTGCCCAATTTTTGGATATTCCTTGCATGCTTCTGTACTTCAAGGGGTATGGAGATAGCTCCTGTCTTGAAGAGCTAACATCCTAGGAAAAATTGTGCGGATAATATGGACAGGAAGAAGGACGAGGGTAGGAATAGCAAGAATGAGTGGCTACAAAGCCTCGGTAAGAAGGGTTTATGTCCCTAGCTGCGTCTTGCTGTCCCTGTGAAAGCAGGCTGGTTCATTTGCTTGCGGGGAATTTTTGGGACCCCCAGGGGAATGTACGGGAATGTTAGAGCTAGCGTATTCAGCTGCAGAAAAGGACACAAACCTGCTTTCTGATAATACTGTCTTTTCCTGAGAGTCAGCTTCTGCTGAATGTGCAGTTGCAGGGACTTGCTGGGAGCTGTGGCCAGCTGGGAGCTCCCTGGCCCAATGTGGGGCAGGCTTTGTAGCACCCATCTTGGGGCTCAGCTCTTACTTCTCTGTTGCCTGTCAGAAATATGTGCACTAATTCCCGAGCTGGTGTTGGGGCGCAGGACGCTCGGGGGGCCGTAGGCAGCTGTGGTCCCATCGCACGTCTCTTTCTTCCCCCCTGCAAGCCCAGACCCGTGCCCGAGGGCTGGACAAGCCGGAGCTGCTCACCCAGCCCTGGGGCTCTGCCGCTTCACTCCGTGTGGCACACATCTTCTCAATGAAGGCAAAGATGCTCCTTAAAACAACTTCAAAGTCAGGTGTGGAGGAGCACAAAGCTTCCTGACTCAATGGCAGCAGAACTTTCCGGGGTTTATTTGGGTTTGCACAGGGAGGAATTTTGGCACTCTCTGCTGAGGGGCTCGGTGAGTCGTGCCCAATGCCAGCACCAGGGGAGAAGAGGGCTGGCAGAGGGACCTCTCCGCTGCAAACCCGTCTGTCAGCTGCTCTGACTCCAGCATCACAGCTGATCAGTCTAAGGTACAAGCCAGGTCTCTTTGAAACACAAACCCAAGCCATGAATGGTCATGGGCCTGAATTTGGGTAAGTGCTTGCTTTCTTCCCCTCAGTGAAATTAATTCTCCCTTTGGAAGAGGGGGCAGAGGAAGTTACTGCGGTGCCTCTAGGTTGGCTTTTGTCTGGAGCTTGACCTGGCTGCTTGGGATAAGATGGCATGGTCCAGGCCAGGGTCTTACGCACGTCTGCCCATCGTGAGCATGGTCTTTGGGCACATACTGGTGAAGAAAACAACCTTTCCTCTTTGGCTGCCTTCTCCTTGTCAGGGTGAGGCAATTAGTGAATCTATCTAATTGTGAATGGGCAGGGCGGGAAGAAGACCTGACCTCTCGGTCCAGAGGCAGCAATTGCGTGTGTGTGTGGCTTCAACAGAGGTGTAGTCAAAATCCCCACCATTACAAATCAGCAAAGTTGGAGTTTTTGTATGTCAAGATGGGTGTCTGCTTATGTCCTAAATCTCCTTTCTCCTACATATCTAG